CACACACACACACACACACACACACACACACACACACAACTATAGGCTGAATTCAGCAGCTGATTAAATTTGAAACAGAAGAAGAGAATAATGTTTGTCCGCAGCGGAACAACAACGTTCAGTGCTAGCAGACCATAATCTTTGATGGCATCAACATTTAGATGTTTATCTTGAACTAGGGAGATCAGACTCAGACTGAGAAGACGTGGAGACAAAGGGAGGGCTGGGAGAAGGCGGACGGCCGGGATGAGTAAGGATGATGAAAGACCAGGGCCCAGGCAACGCTTATCCCCAGGGCTTGTACCATGGCTCTGTTCCTGCACTCCGAGGGCGCCTTTAGGAGGTTAGGGTCAGGCAGCAGCACAAATCGATGGGCTGGGAAGGGACTGTGAGGCTCCATGCTAATACCTGCTCCATGATAATACAGCCAGCTGAATCCCTGCTGGGTAATGTCATCCATCACCCTGCTGATGCCACTGGCACACACTGAGAAGGAGGAAGAAGAAGCACTGAATTATACAGATGGATGACTGTGGGTTTCTCTTGTGCCTTCGTCGTACATTCCAGAGCTGATTTTAATAAAAGTGGTAATATCACAGCAGGAACTCCGCGTCGCTGGCCCTTCAGACGGAGAGATAAATGCAGCTCCTGCAGGTCTCGTGGGACTGAGATGTTAATCCATATATTACACGTTACTCGCCCCAGCCTCAGCATCACACCACTGGCACATCATACTAGCTATTGATTGAACCCTTTCCTGTCAGCCACTGCTAAATGAGATAGTTCGTCCTCGGGTGCAAAAGCAACTGTATACATCTGGAAGCAGAAGCCTGCTGCCTGTGAGTGTTGATTTAGCTCAGGTTAAGTTTATCTAATAACACGTCTGTGGGGCATTTTGTGTCTTACATTATTCTCAATCCCGACATTATTTATTTACCTGGGAAGCATGAAGGTATTTTGAGATTTGTTATAACCTCGTTACGGCGATCTACACATCCAGTGCAGTTTTTATGGTTTCATCAGACCCACTCGATCTTTTTCCAGATATGTGATTTTATTTTGTTCTCAGTGAAACTCCAACCTAAAAAAAAAGCATCCCTTGATTTAACGTTATGGCAAAAAGAACAAAAATGTGTTAATTATTCCACGGACAACACAACTGCTGAACTCTCTAAAATGTGCCGTATAAACAATATTTGATTTATCACTACCTGTTTTTAATGGAGTGCTTATTATTTTTTCTGAGTTTATGACATGTAATTATTATTATTCACTGTTGTTTTGGGTCCTTCCAAATCATATTTTTAACTCAGGCAATGAACTGGTTTTATGGTTGTGTGTGGCATGCAGTTGTTTTTAGTTCATGACCTTTTAACTAAGTGACACTTTATCGTTTTAGTTCTGCCTCTGCAGCGCGTTGTTGTGTTGATTTCACAGTGTGTGTTTTTACGTATGATGCAGGATTTTAAATCAGTCAATCAAATGGACCAACTCTTGCAGCTGGAACAGCCGTCACAGCCGGTGTGGTTCTTGTGGAGCTGGGTTAGAAAGGACAAAAGCAAACTATGATTTAGCCATAAAAGGTTGCTGCACGAACATCTTCAATGAAACATGAATCCCAAGAGGTTGTCCGAAAGAAAGTAATAAAACGAGAAGCGTTGCTTTTATTTTCTGTTCTTGGACTTAACATTTCTAGAAATCCGACCAGAACCCAGAAGTGAAATGACTGTCCCCATTTCTCTCCTCCTGCTCCCTCACATCATCACACAAACATGCACACAGCTTATCTTTGCCAGTAGCTGGTCAGCTTTGGAACCCACGGGTTCATTTTCGATGTCAGTCTGCGCAGCCATGGTCTGGTTAGCGTTAGCTGCTTCACCTCGAAGACTACAGTCAAACAGGCTCGCATGTTTAGCTGTTCCTCCTTTTCCCTTCTGTGACTTAATCGCATTAGGCGTGGTTCCGCAAAATCTTCCTGATGTTTAAGTTATTAGTGAGCAGGAGAACGTTAGAACCAACCTGGCAGCAGAGAAAAAAAAAACACGTCCTCCTGCATGGCCGCCATCACCGGATCCCTCAGCTTTTGTTTTTTACTATAAACTTTTACTTTAAAGGATAATTTTTTTATCTGTCCTGAAAATAAAGTCATACAAATAAAAATACAACATTTATCATTTTATGTTCAGATTGACAGTAAATAATTAAACACCCTTTTTTTAAAATAGGTAAACACATGATGGAAAATCTGTTTAATTAAAATGAATAAAACTTAATGCAGCATTAATTAAAGCTGCATTAAGTTTTATTCATAATAAATAAATAAATAAATAAATAAATAAATTATTAATTGATTACAACTATAACAACAAAGTAAAAAAATAATCATGGTCATGGAAACGGAATCTACCAGCATCAGCTTCCTTTGATGATGTCATAAAGCACAAACACATAGCAGACGCGCACAGGCCTATATAAAGGGCAGCAGACCCACAGACAGCTTCATTTGCACACTGGCTTTAGACCTGAGCACACCTACGATGGCTACTGGTGGACCACACGTGGACAACATGGAGTTATTTTCAGACATACTTAAAGCTGAATTGGAACAAAAGAATGAGCTTTTACAAAGAGACTTACGAGATCTGGAAGCCAGAAAACTAGTTTTTGGTGACCAGAAACGCGACTTTCAACAAACGGTGGATGCGTTTGAGAAAAAGATAGCTCGCATCAGGGAAAGTCTCCAGGAGGAAAAAGAGAAACTGGAAACAAAAACACGGGATCTGGAGAAACGAGAACGTCACTTTGAGGATCAACAAAAGAAACTAACGAATCACGTTGATGAACTAAAGACGAACTCTCAGAAAGGAAGAGATCATTTAGTTTCAACTCAGTTTCTCGACGAACAAAGAGTAAAGATTGAGCTGGAAGACAGGGAACAGCAGAAACAAGGACAAGAAATTCAGGATGAGTGGAATAAGATTAAAGAAACTCAAATTGCTAATTGTGAGTCGGACGAAAACTTCAATGAGACAAAAGAGGAAGTCGGAGATTTATGGAAAGCTTTACAGGAAAGCAAAGAGAGATCAACAGAAGAAATTAATAACCTGAAAAGAGATCTGGAAAGACAGAAATTAGAGTTTATTGAATTTAAGGAACAAACAGAAAGGGAGTTAACAGCAGAGAAGCAGACTCTCCGCGATGAGAGGGAGCGTTTAAACGCTGAGAAAATGACTCTACAGAACCAGATCGTTGAGTTTGAGCAGAAACAGACCGAATCAGAGCAGATGAGACAGATTCTGCTCAAAGAGAAACTAGATGTTCAACTTCTGAGAGAAAATCTGCAAGAGGACAAAGTGGAGTTTATGGAAACAGCAGAAGGCTTCCAGAAAGATTTCAACGAAAGTCTAAACTATTTGAAGGAGAAGCTGGAATTTCTGAGTGTTGAGAAGAGAAGTCTGGAGGAAGAGAAGCAACGTTTCCTGATGACTAAGTCAGAATCAGAGACGGAACAAGGGCGGATTTACGAAATCCTCCAGGAAGAATTAAACAATTTGCATCTGGGAAAACAAAGTCTGGAAACACAAGTGATGGACTTTAGGGAAGAGATTGCTGCAGCAGGTACGATCTTAGAAGAGAAGGAAACGGCTCTGGAAGAAGGGCTGGAGGGTCTGAGACTTCAGAGAGAAACTCTGGAGGAAGAAAAGACAAATTTCCTGTTAACAAAGTTCAGATGGGAAGAGGAGAATGAAGAAATACGGGCTTACCTCCAACAAGAGCTGAAAAGATTACGAGCTGGGCAACAGAGTCTAGACAAACAGATGACGGACTCTGAAGAGAGAAACATGAATCCAGAGCTGATCATTCAGGACATTCAACGGGTTCTTCAGGAAGAAAGAGACAGTTTAGTAACGCTCCGACAAAACCTGGAGGAAGAGAAGCAACGTTTCCTGATGACTAAGTCAGAATCAGAGATGGAACAAGGGCGGATTTACGAAATCCTCCAGGAAGAATTAAACAATTTGCATCTGGGAAAACAAAGTCTGGAAACACAAGTGATGGACTTTAGGGAAGAGATTGCTGCAGCATGTACGATCTTAGAAGAGAAGGAAACGGCTCTGGAAGAAGGGCTGGAGGGTCTGAGACTTCAGAGAGAAACTCTGGAGGAAGAAAAGGCAAATTTCCTGTTAACAAAGTTCAGATGGGAGGAGGAGAATAAGGAAATACAGGCAAAACAGCTGGAAAAATTCCAAATTAGGCAACAAACTCTCATCAAACAGATGACGGACTCTGAAGAGAGAAACATAAATCCAGAGCCGATCATTCAGGACATTCAACGGGTTCTTCAGGAAGAGAGAGAGTGTTTAGTAACGCTCCCACAAAGCCTGGAGGAAGAGGAACTAGAGTTTATGGAAACAAGGGAAGCAGAAAATCATCTTTTAAATGAGAAACAACGAGCTCTGGAAGAAGAGGTTGAACTTTTGACTCAAGAGAAAATGATTTTTGAAGCGAGAATGGACGACACTGATAAAAAAATTGGAAGAATTCTCCAGCTTTTTCAAGAGGACCAGAGACATTTAGATCAGATCAGGCAGGAGCTGAAAGAGCAACCACAAGCGTTGGAACTGAACGCGGCATCTTTAAACGTGGAAGACGAGCAGCCACCTGTGGAGGACGAGTCAGACAGTCCCACAGCTGCGTCTGAAGATCTGGGGGAACTGAGTTTAGAAAAAACTGTGAGTACCCAGGTACCCAGTGACGGGTACCCAACTGTTCCCGGTCTTCATGATGATAACGACGAGCTTCCAGAGAACCCTGGGCCTGCCCATGGGAGCGCTGAAGAAGACTGGGAGGCTGAAGAGCCAAGGCCTTCTACATCTGGCCTAGGATCCAGCTGGGACCAGTCCGACTTCTACTGGAGAAGTCTTCTTCCAGAACACCAATGAAGATCAGAAAAGCATATACAAGTGAAGTAGGGAGCTTGGGATGGGCTTAGATTTTTTAAAACTAGGAAACAGAGAATTTGAATCAGGAAAACGTAAAATTTTCAGAGAGAAGAAACTGAATGGGTGAGAGTAGACGCTGCAAACCTGCAGGAACAGGACATGCAGGCAGAGGAAATAATACGAGCAGCCAATCTAAATTTAGTAAATAGTAACACACAGGAACACGAGGGAGTAAACAAAGGCTCAAAGTTTAGAAGAGCCGAAAATTAACCTGAAGTTCTCCAAGAGCTTCTGCAGGAGGAAACAGGAATGGGTGAAATATTTTAGCTCTAACAATTACGCTTACCAGAGCTTCTAGTTTCCGTGGACTAAGAGTCAACACCTTAGATGGGTTGGCTCTTGATTTAAAATGCCACTACATTAAAGAAGTTTTACTCTATGTGTCTAGGATGTAGCTTCTTCCACCACCAGGTACTAAAATACAAACAAACAAACAAACAAAAAAAAAACGCAGCACAGGTGAGATCTCAACAGATCAGATCATTTCTGTGTCTCCGTGTGCTGCGTGGGGGTTTTCTCTGGGTGCTCCAGTTCACCCCCAACCCAAAATCCTAAAATCCTGACACGTTAAGCCTAATTTATACTTCTCCGTCATCGCCACTTCTCCGTCTCCTGGGGAGTGTCGCAAAGCAATTCCCCGCCTGGACATTTAACCCTCTCAGGCTCAAAATAAGTTTTGATAAAAGGACGAACAACTAAGTCCTTCAGGGGTACTTCTGAGTTAAAAATGCTCATGAAACACGTGTGGAGTAACCAGGTAGGTAGGTTTTAACCTGCCTGCCTCCAGAGGGTTAAAACACGATGAAAACATACTTTCTATCAAACATCTCACATCAACCCAGTTAATTTAATAGGTTTTAGAGATCATTGTCACGGTTCTGTCATGGATCAGTACTTCTCTGCATGGACTTCATGACCCAATACATGCAATGCATGTTAAAGACAAAGCAGGCTTCTTCTATGGTTGGATGGTATTTCAGCTCTCGTCCTGATGACTTAGGTTTGGGGTAAAGTAAAGGTGAATTTATCTTCTAAACATAGATTATATGTGTTTTAGAACATCGTGTGTTTGACGACGCCTGTTCAGAGTCATAAATCATTTATTAGCTGATAGATTAAATTCTGCATCCCTGACATAAATCTAGGGAGGACCCCCGAGACCCCAACAACTCAAAAATATCAACATCAATTACGATAACGTATATGTATATTATCACTACAGTACATATACAAATTAGTGATCCTCTATATCTGGAAAAAATTATTCTTCATATAATTTCTTAAAGGCCCAGTGTGTGATATTTTTACTTGTTTACTATCATCCTGTGTTTCCAGTTCACAAACGTGTCCTTTTTCACTAACATTTCTCATCAACGTCAAGTCTAAATATTCCTCTCAACTTGTAATTATACATTTTTATATACATAAACTGTGGTTGACCCTCCATGGTCATCCACCATCTTAAAGTACAGTAGCTGTTTAGGGACATAGGAGCTCGACGTTACGCGTTTGGACTATGACTGTAACCTGACAAAACCAGCAGAGGGCAGCAGTGAGCCCTGGCAGCATGGAGTCTGATAATTAAACTAAGAAATAGAAACGAATAGCTACACCGTTGCTGTACTTGTTAGTTTGAATAAAAAAACTATTAAATAAAAAGACACAAATTTTGTCAGCTCCTCATCATGTCCAACACAAGAAAGCCGTTCAGACCCTCGCCTGCTATTAGCTAGACACCAGCCTCCGATTAGTGTCCCTGACTCCCAAACTCACCTCAAGTTGTTCATTGGTCTTTTCCTAGTACCAGAACTCCCGATCCGGTCCCAACATGTCTGTTCCAAAGTACTCAAGTCGCCTCTCTTCTTGCAGTAGGGCTGCAACTAACGATTATTTTCATAATCGATTAATCTGTTGATTATTTTTTCGATTACTTGATTAATCTGTTTGTTATTGTTTAGCTATTTAACCTATACAAGTGAGGAATACATTTCAGTTAAGAAAAAGAAAAACATAAGAGAATTGTGCAGTTTACTGCAATCTATTTTATTGCACATGAACACAGTCAGTGGTGTAAAATGAGCTAAACAGTGCAAAATATCAGTCCAGAATAATTTTTGGCATCAAAATATAAGAGGTAAATTCCATAAAAAATAATGTAGAATTGCTGGAGGGTTAGTGCCTTGTTCCCCATGTAGTTGTCCATCGTTGCTTGTTTTTTTCTGCATAAGAAACACAAATAGACTGAAATAAGTACACATAAAATAAAGCAGCACACACACTACAACACTAAATCAATATTATATTATTTGAATTAATTAACAGTATACAGTGATCATTTATTTTGACAAAAATGTGTTGTGAGGCGTTTTACAGCGTTAGACAGTAAAACAGCCTTTTAATAGTAAAAAAAAATTACTTTTTCTGAATTTCTCCTGTATTTAAAAATTGAAAGCGTACAACTATGCCGCGTTATATTCACCTGGACACAGCTCGTCTGTATATTTTTCTCCGCGGAGTTGTCCTTTTTTGAATGAGGAACATAGTTATGGGTTTGTGCCGTTTTTCTCTTAACGAGAACATTCTTATAAACAGACGTGCTAAATTTGGCAAGCGCATGATTCACAACACGGAGGAGATTCACGATTGCTTCTAGTCAATCAGAAGTAGAACACCGTAGACTGACGTGGCAATAAAACATGTTTAACGTCCAGTATAACAAACTCAGCTAAAACACTAAGTCACACATTGGATCTGCGTGTAGTGATGGACCACTATATTTAGCTTGTTTTCTGTTACTTACCGGGCTGGCGCTTCCTCTGCTGCATCAGCCCCCACATGTTTTCGTCTCAAATGTTCACTTAGGGACGTCGTGCTTCCGTGCCATGCTAGATGGTTTTTGCATATTTTGCAGGTCACCCGTCTTTTCATGGCATCTAGAGTGAAGTGCTCCCATACTCGTGAGGTTTTTGTCCGGGGTTTCTCTTCAGTTTTGTCGCTTCTATTTTTCTTCCGTATTTCTTCTTGATCCGCCATCTCTCACAGCAAGATGAGCGTCAGTAACGTGTTACGTCATGAAAACCGAGGGCGCTTATTGGCTCGTTTCTTCTTCTACGGCTCCACTGGTAGATCAGTGGCTCAATACTGCCACACACTGGCGGCAAATTTAACAGATTGTAACCGATGTCACATTGTGGTAAAAATAGACTTTATGCAGTAAAATGTGATTATTAAACAACAAATCGATGACTAAAAAAGCTGTTAATTATTTTAATAATCGATTATAATCGATTAGTTGTTTTGTTGCAAGTCCCATCCGGTAAAGACTTAGAAACAGTGGTCAGAGACAAGGGTCACAGAAGGGTCAAGAGGACAAGAGTTCAGGACTTGCTAGCGGGGACAGAACTAGGCAAAAGGTCAAAAGGCAGGCTGGCTTCTCTGGATCCACCCATGGCCCCTCCCCTGGCTCCTCCTCTGGCGGGAAAAGAAGGACTGGACTGGAGTGAGGACAGTCCATTTGGACCCAGAAGTCCTCAGGAATGCTGGAGGAAGATCTACAATTTGCTACTAACATGAAGATTTATGGCCTGTGCTCTCATTCCAGGAGTGCAACATGTAACTTTTGTGCCCTCATGTGAATACTGCATGTAGTGAAAATGATACCAAATGTCTTATGTAGAGCTAAAAAAGTGTATTTGGTAAATGACCCCTTGACCTAAACTGTCAGGAGAGAATGACTTGTGACTCTTACATTGTTTAGAGCAGTCTCAGGAATGATATAAAAGGATGCAGCTCAGATCGGGCGAGAACCTTTTGAAGGAGACTGGATGGAAGATTCTCAGAAGACAAGAGCTAGTGTAAACTAACTCTTATTTAATCATTTTGAACTAATCCCTCCTTGGGGGATAGCAGTTGTTTTTATACTTACTCATTTTTGTATTTTTGATTTTGTAATAAACCTTTTTTGAAAAAGAAACATAATCCTGATTCTTTCAGGTTTTCTCTAAAGCTTCACGTTTGGAGCCCTGACCATAATTGCACAGAGGTAAGCATGTCGATTATAGGTCTCTGAATTATCAGGACTTACTTTACAGTTTGTAATAAAATAATATAAAGAAACCTTAAGATAAGGGGAGTTTTAACTCTCCCCCCCTTGCGAGTAACGAGTTGTCTTAAGGGCAATAAAACCAGGATATTAGAGGTTATTTTGGCTCTGATTGCAGGTTGAAAAAGTCTCTAACAGCTGGAGGGTTGGATTCATTAAATAAATTGATAAACTTATGTTAGCCTGATCAACTAGCATAAATCATTTTATAGTTACCAACCTCCCACATAAGCTGTTAGAGGCGCAATTAATCCGGATAACCCAAACAATTGCTGAGAGGCTTGGCTTGCCTCCAGACTTCTCTCTAGTATCTTAACCAAAAGGTAACGAGTTTAAAAGAAGTGGACTACTCTGGGGATTGCTATTTGTGCAAGTCATTTCACCTTTAAAATAAAAGACACGATTCTAATTAGGAGGTCCAACCCCGGGTCTGATACGATAAAACTCGCCGACATCCCCTAGAACCCTGATGGATGCATTGTCTCATAAGTTCTAACGGAACCGGTAAATGGGACGGGCACGCGACAGTTTCAGCTCTATCTTGCAGCCTGCCGTCTGGCCCAACACGCTCGTCCGTTAGCCAGTGGCTAAATCAGCGTTGTTTACTTAACACTTCACTAACAGCGACGTAGTTCTCCACGCGTCACAGAGACGCTCTGACACAGGGCTATTTCTCAAACGTTACCTTTAGACTTGGGCCTCCTTTTGCTGGTAATCCGTGGGAGTTTACACACAGCGTCTCCCCGGCTCTAGCCATGGCTAACTAGTAGCTTGGTGGCTCGTGACTAGGGTTGTCACGATACTAAAATTTCAAACTGATTCGATACTTGAAAAAAAAAACTCGATACTCGATTTCGATACTATTTCAAAACACCCATTTATCGAACAAGTTTATTCAAAAAATAACATTCCTCAATTTATATTACAAAAATTAAATGTTAAGAATTAAGTGTATTAAGTGCTTAAACCTTTCAAGTATTAGCATTTTTTAAAACATGCATGCAAAAACTGGTGAAAGTTAACACTTTAAATCATGAATTGTCTCACTATATATACACTATTTGCAGAGTGATGTTTTGCTGCTTAAACTCTGTTTAAGGTGCATTTTTGTCATAAGCTGTAATGCCATATGTTTTGTTCTGTACTTTTGAACAACCCTGTTGGTCAATAAAGGGAGAAAACGAATTTCTCCACAGTAGGACAAAGGTACATCTACCGGTAATCTTAATAAAAACAGACTGGCGCACGGCAATGACGTCATTAAAAGCGCCGGTTAGATTAGCCACGGCTAGTCTGTTTACGCCTAGAAATCCCAGACCCACTCCAGACGAACAGGGGAATCACGTTAATGATTCCTAACAAAACCTTTCAACATGAAGATGTTTTGGTGCAGATAATGTCTTATTTCGAGGCTGCACCATGGGTGCCCGTCCGCACCCGTTATATGGATATACGCTGACAGCGATTCGGCGATGGATCTACGGTAAATACCCCGGGGAATCCAAGTAGCACCAAAGTTGTCAGCGTGAGTAAACAAACGTACCGCATGCTAGAAATTGTCCAGGTTGCAATAAACGGGAGTTTCCTTTAAGCACATAAGCGTGAATATACAACTACGTGTCGGACTTGGTATGCTAACTAAGTTGGGCTGTGAAGCGCCTCCCAAATTCGCTGTTTATGTTTTTGTTTATTTATTTGGCAGACAAAACTTGGATCGGAGACAACTCGCGGGGGAAATTGCAATGTAGCCATGCGGCGTCTTCTTCTGTTTGTCTGGGAGGCGGAGGCTGCTTTACGGCATCTGGCTGTCGTGCGTGTCGGTGTACTTGAAAAAGGCTGTGTATAATAGTCCATAATATCGATACCACAGGGATGGAATATCTCATTTAGATACCACTTTTAGCATCGATTTATATCTGGGTATCGATTTTTTTGACACTAGTCAATAGTCTTTTGCTCTAAAATCACAGGAAAAGCCGAGAGGAATCTCCGTCCATCTGCAGAAGTGATTTGTATTTGATCCGAGGTATGGTCTGTTTTTAGAGCCGACCAGGACTGCAGTGCCCCTGCTTCTCTTGGGGATTTGTTTGGTTTCTGTATAAAACGTTACAAGGTCTTGACCTTATTAAATAAAGAGCCCTGGGATGACTTCAGCTGAGGTTTGGCTCTGAGAGGTCAAATAGTTCTGATGGGAACAAATAGTTTTCCTCTTCCTCTTCTCTCCTCTTCGTGCTCAAAGCAAGATGGAGTTAAAAGCAACGCTGTGAGAAGAAAAATGGAAAATAATGCTGATTCCTTAATTACACAGCTGTTCACTAAACTGCCCTTGAGCTTCATCAAACCAGGGAAGTATTTCCCATCCGTTTATAGTGGTTCTTGTTATGTTCAGGCTTTTTTTTTGGGTTTAACATTTCAGCATTTGTTTCCTCAGCCTGCAGATTCTCACCCCGCTGTGAATGTGTGGACTTTTCATTCATGTCATCATTGTTGCTTGGAGATTAGATTGTGGAAATGCTGAGTGAAGGTGGTACAGGAGCGAAAAGAGTGATGAAACAGCAGCCACACTGGACCTGGTGTTGACCAAGCTACTGACATTTTTATCAATACAGTTTTGTTCAAAAGAGGAGGAAAAAAAAACACCAAAAGCTGAAAAAGACTCAAGAAAGCTCTGATCTGGTATCAAAAGACGAAGGAGACAAAGTGGAAAGACACGGAGCAGACTGGGAAGGAAAATGTACACAAACTCCAGCGGTTTAAGGAAAAACAGGAAGCAAAGAGATGACAGCAGGAACAAAGGCAGGATAGATGTGAAAAGTGACGAGTTAACGGTTAAAACCTGGTTCACAAGACTGTTGGCTGATTTTCAAAGCATCAGACCACACACTTGGTGATAAAAGATCACAGAAATATCAGTTTTGGTCTTACAGTGTGTGGTGTGCTCAACAAATACTACCCACCAACTGCATTCACGCAGCCATTCCACGCTCCGATGGGAAATCTCATGAGATAAAACGTAATTTAGCACGTACCAACGTAGCAAACATGGTGGAGGAAGGGTTTGCAACACCTCGCTTTCTGATTGGCTACACGTCACATTCAGGAGCAGCACACTCGTTCGTTCCAGAAAATCCGACCAAAACCAAACCAACATGTTTGAAAGCTCAGACTCATGATCAGAGTGGACCAAAGAGAATGTTAGAAACACAGTTACCTTCCATTCACACACACACACACACACACGCACGCACGCACGCACGCACACACACACACACACGCACACACACACACACACACACACACACACGCACGCACACACACACACACGCACGCACACACACACACACATGCACACACACACACGCACACACAGATTTAAAACCGTATTTTAGGCGACACTGGAGCGTCTCTGCCACCAGGGCGGTGTTAAAAGAAAACACGAGAAAATCTAATTTACTCCAACTTAAACCCGACAGAGATGTGGGAGACCAACACCTCTGATTTAGAGGTTTTAGTCATCTGAAAATCTGCCCGTTACCACCGTTTGCACACTTGGACTACAGCACACAGTGTTGTTGATCCAGGTTCACAGCCTGTCACGATTAGCTGCTCTTGTTGGAGGCAGGCTCGTCGGATCACCTGTAAAACAATCTGCATGCTAATCATCACCGCCCGACATCAAACCACTCAGGTTCAGGTTTCTTATCCGTCTGTGTGAACAGATCTTCATACAGAAATAAATTCTCATCAGGTGGCCCGTTCTCCATTCCCCACATCCAGTCTGCGATGCATGAAAGCACGAGTCTGCCAATATGTGCTGAAGACTCCACTCTAAGTGTTTTCCATGCAGAGAATTGAAATGAGTGTCCTTTAATAACTACAGCTCAGTTTAACACCCTTTTGTTGTTGTCAAACCCGGTTCTGTCCCTTTTATGACTGAGTGTGAACTACGCACACAGAGCTTGTTCAACATCTGGGAACTTATTGGTTTCAGCGTCGATTTCCACTCGTTCCACTGATTTCTTACTGGTTCATCAGCCTGATGACCTCAGATTTCAACATAGCTCCAACAAACTCCCCGCCGGCAGAGGAAGAATTAGTCTGGTTTGAGAAATCCTTACAAAGGCAGTTTGAGACCTGCATTTATTTGTTGATGTTGTGTTTATACTGAAGAGTAAAGACCCAGTGAAGGCCTTGCGGGTCACGCAGAACACTTAGCTTCTCAGCGGTGTGCACACTTCCAGAGGGAAAACTAGCTCTCCACTAATCCTATCATTTATTATGTTTGGCAGTTTGAGTGACGCCTTAAACAGATTTGAGGGATTCATAGTTTAATATTAGGTTGATAATAAGTTTTAACCATTAAATGAAGTTTGCCTACATTTTTTGTGAGGAGGTTTACTGGTTTCTGACTGGTTTGGCTTTTGCACAGTGTGTTAATAATACACTACAATAATAATGATAATATTCTGGCAGGAGTGATTATGGGATGTTAGCTGAGTGTTGAACTGGGACGTATCTACATCCGGTCCAGGTGAATGTCGACTTTGGCTAAATACTGAAAGAAAAAGGGACAAAATGTGAAATAAAAGTGTTTGAATTTATCATGAACTTTTTTTTGGATAATTTTTGAAAAGACATATTAACGGAAGGAAAGCATCAAATCAGAGAAAAAGTATTTTATGCAAATAACTTTATCTACTGAACTGTTGTTTAAATGTTTGTGTTTAGACTGCATTTCTGATTTTAAACAGGAGTTTTATTGTCTGCACTTAGGGCATGGCACAAGTTTAAAGCATCGTTTATAAAAACAAAAGCACCCCAAACACCATAATAGATGATTGCTTGTGTGCTTTATGCATCTCATAAAAAGACCAAATGGCTGGATTTCAGAAGCTCTAAAGCTTTATTATTTACCAGTTGGTCTACCTTCCTACCCTCACCTATTTCCACGTTGGGCAGTGACCGGAATAACGAGATCATGGATGCAAGCGACTGAAATGTGTTTTCTCTGCGGGGTGGCTGGGCTCTCCCTTAGAGATAGGGTGAGAAGTTTGGTCATCCAGGAGGGGCTCGGAGTAGATCTGCTGCTCCTCCACATCGAGAGGAGGCAGTTGAGGTGGTTTGGGTATGTGGTTAGGAGCTCTCCTGGATGTCTCCCTGGTGAGGTTTTCCAGGCATGCCCAACTGGGTAGACACCCAAGAGAAGACCCAGGACACGCTGGAGGGACTATAATAATAATAATAATAATAATAATAACAATAATAATAATGCATTGAACTTATATAGCGCTTTTCTAGACCCCCAAAGATGCTTTCACACACTCACATTCACACACTGCTAGTGATGGTAAGCTACTTGTAGCCACAGCCGCCCTGGGGAGGTCTGACAGAGGCGAGGCTGCCATTTGGCGCCGCCGGCCCCTCTGACCACCACTAACACAGGCAAGTTGGGTGAAGTGTCTTGCCCAAGGACACAACAGCAGGATACCCCTGGTGGGAGCTGGAATCGAACCCATGATCCTCCGATCATGAGGCAACCCGCTCTACCACCTGAGCCACTGCTGCCCCCAAATGCCCCACTATGTCTCTCACCTGGCCAGGGAACGCCTTGGGATTCCCCCGGAGGAGCTGGCCCAAGTGGCTGGGGAGAGGGAAGTCTGGGCCTCTCGCCTTAGGCTGCTGCCCCGCCAACCGAACCCAGATAAGTGGATGATGATGGACAGATGGATGGATGGATGGATGGATGGATAAAGCTTCGTTATCTCATGGTTTAATGACTCGTGTAATAAAGGAGATACAAAGAAAAAAGGAGTCACGCTTCTAACACCAATTTCTTGAGACTTTAGTGTTAGTCCTAAAAATGTTTAAATAAATATACTCTTTACCATTTTTACA